CAGCAGCCAGACCTACAAGGCAGGCAGACCCCATTGCCACACCCCCTTTTGCAGAGGAGAAGACTGAGCCTCCAGAGGTGTGGTCGTGGTGTCCATGGCCGCTCAGCTGGCCAGGGCACAGCGAGGACTTGACCCTCACACTGTGTGACCACGCTCCTTCCTAACTGCCACGGTGATCTAAACGTCCAGCTCTGAAGGTGAGTAAACTTAAACGTTCTCCAGAAAGACAGCCACTGCCCACAGGCTGACAAGACGGACTCCAGAGCCACCGGGCCAGAAACCGACAAGGCTTTGAGGTTCCACCAAGGTACAGTCCCCATGCAGGACCCCGGGCAGTCCAGGCATGCCACTGGCTCCAGACAGCAGTGAGCTGCTTTCCCTGCCACAAGTCACCAGATCCCAGCTGTAGGCCCTCACCTCTTGCCTCTAATGAGCCGGCCCAGTGGCCTCTTTCCAGGAGAAGGGTGGGAGGGCGGCCTGTCCTGCAGTGTGCTTGGGAAGGGGCAGAGGAGGGTAGGAGGGGGTATCAAAGGAAGAAAACCTGGAGGAATGAGACAGAAGCGCACCATCCTCTCACTGCCCCCACACCGTGCTGGGATTAGGGGTTTGGCCCTGTGTGGAATGCTGGCCGGCAGCCTCCGGGAGCCAGAGCCAGAGCCAGGAGTGCTCACAGCCGTCCCATCTCCTCATCGGAATCCCAAACAAACATTGTTGCCTGGAAACACTGCCTCGCCCCAGCATCCCTGGGCTGAATCATGGGACCAGAGCCCCGAGATGCTCTCTGGCCACCATCGCCTGTCCAACCCTTTCATTTCTCAAACGGAAAGGCTGAGGCCCAGGGAGGGGAGAGGGGAAAGGTCTTGTGTGAGGTCACTGGGCGAGCTGGGGTGAAGCTGAGATGGGACCCCAGGTCTTTTGCCACCTGACCTCACACACAGCCCAAGACGTGCTCACATACAGTCCAAGCCCATGTCTTCTGTCTCTGAGGCTGCGAAACAATCCTGGGCACAAGGATATCGCTCAGTCAATGCTGCTGACTTCAATTTTGAATTTGCAACTTGGATGTCTTTTTCAAAAACAAGTCCCACGGGAAAGAAGCACTCGATGGCCATTCCCACCCTCGGACTTCACCGTGGGCTTTTGGGACCGTCCTCCAAGGAACTGACCCAGGAGATAAAGAGGAACATTGTGCAAAGCTGCTCCAACAGTCCCATTTATGACCGCAAGAGCTGGCAACACGGCCGTGCCCCACACAGAGCAATGGCTCAGAGATGATGGGAGCCGAGCGCCCTGGAATGTTATTTTGGCCTTTATTTTTTCTTTTCTTCTTTTTTTTTTTTTTTTTTTTGAGACAGAGTCTTGCTCTGTTTCAAGGATGGAGTACAGTGGCATGATCTTGGATCACTGCAACCTCCACCTCCCAGGTTCAAGTGATTCCCCTGCCTCAGCCTCCCGAGTAGCTGGGACTACAGGTGCGCACCACCACGCCTGGCTGATTTTTGTTTTTGTTTTTTTTTTGTATTTTAGTAGAGATGGGGTTTCACCATGTTGGCCAGGATGATCTTGATCTCCTGACCTTGTGATCCGCCTTCCTTGGCCTCCCAAAGTGCTGGGATTATAGGCATGAGCTACCGCGCCCGGACTATTTTGCCCTTTAAAAGGAAAAGCAAGTGACATGGGCCAGGATGAATCGAGAAAATGAGTAAAAGAGAAAAGGAATCCGCGATGAGGACAGAATATAAGATGCCCGAGGTTTAATTCTAGAACAGCCCCTACAAGGACAAGAGCGGCTCCAAAGGGACGGGGACGCGGCTGGGTGGCTCGGAACTTCACGGCTTCTGAGGTTCCCAGGCTGCTTCCTCTGTGAGGACTTGCTGACTCGGGGGGTCGAAGATACCTAGGAGTTCAGAGAGGAGCGGCCCACCTGATACGCGTGTCCCTGTGCATGCATCTGTGTGTGTCTGTATGTCTGTGCGTGTCGGAGCCCCCCCCAGGAGCTGCAGGGTCAGGCTCCACGTCCCCACACCCCATGTGTTTCTGTTTCCTCCTCAATGCACTGGGCATGGTGCCATCCACCCCACCCACCTCCAGGGCGCTGGCAGGAGAGGGCCACCCCTGGGCAAGGCGGAATGGAGGGGGCCTCAGAGGCTCAGCACATCTTGACTCTCAGCCCTGACTACACCACAGAAGGAGAAGGGGCTGCCGTGGAGCCCTGTCCTTGGGGTAGCTCGGCAAGGAAGAGGAGCAAGGGAGCAGGGGAGGGGGGAAGCGGGTGTGGAGGGCAGCTGGCTCCTCTCATCAAGAGATGAGCACCTACGACTCACCAGACGCATCAGCCAGACAAGTGCTCCGTTTCCAGAAGGGCAGCTTTGAGGCTGAGCCTGGGAATGTCCTTGGGGAAGAAAGGACAAGGAAGACAAAGGGGAGGGAGGGGAAGGGGAGGAGGAGGAGGAAAAGGGAAGAGGGAGACAGGAGGGGAAGAGGAAGAGGATGTAGGGAAGGGGAGGAGAGGGAGGAGGGGGAGAGGAGGGGGAAGCAGACAGACAGAAAGTCTTGCTGTGTGTTTTCCAAGGGGCTTTTTAAGTCTCTGTGTTCTGGTGGAGGCACTGAGGGACGGAGGTCATGTGGTGTGTCTGTCTGTGAGAGGCTGAGCTTCGTTCTGTGTGTGGACACTGCCGGTGTGGGGCAGGGAGGGAATCAGAGGACCCAGAGCCTTCGAACAAAGCTTCAAGTACAATCAAAAGTGAGGCTATGGCCAGGAGCAGTGGCTCACGCCTGTAATCCCAGCACTTTGGGAGGCCGAGGCAGGTGGATCACCTGAGGCCAGGAGTTCCAGACCAGCCTGACCAACACGGTGAAACCCCATCTCTACTAAAAATACAAAAGTTAGCCAGGCGTGGTGGCAGGTGCCTATAATTCCAGCTACACTAGAGCCTGAGGCAGAAGAATCACTGGAACCAGGGAGGTGAGGTTGCAGGGAGCCAAGATCGCACCATTGTACTCCAGCCTGAGCAACAAGAGCGAAACTCCGTCTCAAAAAAAAAAAAAGTAAGGCTATTCACAGTCACCAAAAGGTGGAAACGTCCCAGTGCACATCAACTGATGAGTGGACACACAAAAGGTGAGCCACCCGCACGATGGGACGCTATTCGGCCATTAAAAGGAAGCAAGCGCTAATCTGGTTAAGGAGACATTAAGTTAGGTGACAGAAGCCAGACATGAAAGGCCCCACGTAATTCATTTATACCAAATGTCCAAAATAGGCCGAAAGCGGGTCAGTGGCTGTCAGGGGCTGCAGTGGGGCTGGAGCAGACATGGGGGGCTGGTGGCTGCCAATGAGTACGAAGTTTTTTGGGGGAGGGTGATGAACATGTTCTAAAATTGGTTGTGGTAACGGCTGCACCCGGTCTGAATATACTAAAAACACTGAACTGACTGAACTGTGTCCTTTAAATAAGCGAAGGATACAGTATGTGAATTACATCTCAATAAAGCTTTTATATTTAAAAAGCAGGTGACAATTGAGATAACAGGTGTGGTCGGATGAGGATAAATTTGTAAAAGCTGGAGAGGATGTCTCAGTTTGCGAACGGCAACAGCAGGGAAATCATATGAAAGGGAGCAAGTTTTCAGCACATCTGACTTCCTAAGCACGGCACATCCGTCATTACCCCACAAGGGTGCTATTTAAATAACGTCCACTTTGCAGATGGAGGAACAGGCCAAGAGGAGCCAGTGGCCACCCGAGGTCGCACGACTAAGAAGGGAGCAGGCGGTTCCGTACTGGGTGTGCGGAACTCCAGGGCCTGAGCACTTAACCCCACCCCCGCCTCCCAGCACATTTTCCTCCTCATTTAGATAAACTCTCGGAATCTCCCAAATCTGGAGATAAAACAGTGTAAGCCAGCACAAAGTGAAGAGGGCAGGGGAGAGGGAACACAACACAACTCTAGGATTGCAAAAGCAGCTTTCGCAAATTTACAGCTCCCGGCTGACCTATTAACGCACCACCGGCAAGAGAGCGGAGAACAAATGGGAAGGCGGTTCCCGTTTCAGTAACAAGCCATAAATCAACACGCATCCTCCAGCTGAGGGCCACCGCCCAGCCGCAGAGCTAGGACCAGGCTTTCTAGGGGAGCTGTGGGTCCCCGCGGCCCCTGCCACACCCTCACCTCACAACATAGAGCTACAGCGACGCCAAGAGGGCACGGGGGACCGCACCGATGATGCCCAGGGCCAGCTCCCTGGGCCTCCGCCACCTTTAGGGGTGCCCGGCTGCAAGGATTGGCAGGACTCACCAAACAGATGTTGTGAGATGCACTGACACATGGTGGGGGCGGGGGTCACATTACAGAGCAGGCTGCTCCGAGACCTTCTGGGTCTGGAACATCTCAAAGACCCTGCCAGGGCTGATGTCACCAAACTGAGCCACAGAACCCCCCCAGCCAGGGGCAAGCGCCCTAGCATCCCCCACATCCCTTCCTGGGGGGTACGGCGTGGCTTTGAAGGACACCCAAGCCAGCCTCCTCCCTATCCGCCCACTCCCAGGATCCCAGACCAGGAGCAGCTGAGTCAGACAGCCCAGCCGCCAGACACCTGGTCTGCAGAGCCGGCGTGGGGGTGGTGCGTGTCATGGCGGGGATGTGGTCCCAGCCCTGGCTTTGCTGTTTTCTAGCCAGGTGATGGCCAGCAGCTCACCCCCTGGCTGAGTACCCTGTCAGAGATCAAGGGTGGCTGTGCAGATTAAACAGGATCCTGCAGGCAATGCCCCATGCATGTTATTTCAGACGGGGAGTCTCACCCTGGGCTTCCAGGCACCCTCCAGAGGTCCCTTCCAGGCTTCTGGGGGCCCGTGGACAATAGCCCTGTGTGTGGAAGCCCAGGAGCACCCTATGGGAGAGACTGCAGGGTCCAAGACACCCGCTGGGTCACTGGTCACCTGAGGCAGGCTTCCCTCCAGCCCTAAGCTCTGTCGCTTGAGGCCATGGGACTGGGGTTACCTGTTGGTGATGGGCGGTACAGGGTGGGAGTCCTTCGTCCAGGTGACCAGTGGGGGTGGGGAGCCCTCGGCCTCGCAATCCAGGGTCACCTCTTCGCCAGCCTTCGCTGTGACTCTCAGAGGCACATCTGCATTACGTGACCCATTCATGTGGATCCTGGGTTTGGCTGCGGGGGGAGTAAGCAGAGGCTGTCAGCAGGGCAGAGGGAACTAGGGGCCATAAGTGCCCCGGGCCGTGGGGCAGCTCCCCCAGGAGGCAGAGCCGGTACTGCGCCCTCGACCTTTAGGAGGTCCAGAAGGCGGATGTGGCTGTCAGAAGGGGGACAGTGCAGGTTGAGGGTGGGACTCAGGTCCCAGGGTTTTCGCTCAGTCCTCCCCTACCCATCTCCCCACCAGCACCTTGCTCTGAGGACCCTGACTCGGTCCCTCCTGCCCCAAGGTCTGTGCCTCCTCTGGCTTCTCTTCATCCTGCCATCCCTTCCCCAGGGACATTCTGAAAGGCCCTTAACTCCTCCTCTCTCTTTACCTTCTCCCCTTGCTCAGTCACTTATTCCCACGATATCAGTCACCAAAGAATGCACAGACCCTCCCTCTGGACCTCTCGAAGCCTGGTGAGGAGGGATTGATGGCAATCTGGGCATGTCGCCGCTCTCTCTCACCTTCAGCTGAAGAGTTCTCGATGGCAGAGACTGCGTGGTACCCTTCCTTCCTCCCCCCCACCCCGGCCTTTCTACCTTGGAGCTCATACAAGGAAGGCACTCACTACCTGTCTGAGTAGCAACAATGAAAGAAGTTAGCCAGTTGGGGACATCAGAACCCATCTAGCCCTCCCGTATTCCCTGTACATTTGTAGTTCAGAGAGGAAATGCTCCCCCATTAGGAATTTTTTTTGCAATATAAAAATGTTGACCTGGCTTATGCATTTGCTCACTCCTCTCAGACATATTTACTGAGTGCCAGCCCTGCGGGGAATGCCAGGGATGGCAGCGAAGGAGACAGGTCCCACCCCGTCTTCAGAGCCTTTAGGGTCCATTGGCAATACTGGTACCAAAAAGCTCGCTATGCGATTAACTATTGAATCACAGCTGTGACGGGTGCCAAGAAGGGGATATTCCACAGTTTACAGCAAGGTGACTTGACCGGCCTGGGGGATCAGGGAGAGCTGAGATCTGACGGATGGGAGCAGTCAGGTGGGCCCAGAGGTGGGGGAACGGCATTCCAAACGGAAGGAATTGCATGTGCGCAGGCCCTGAGGCAGGTTGGACCGTTCCAGAAACAGAAAGGAGACCAGAGGGTCTGGGGCAGAGAGAGACAGGTGAGAGGACTGCTGGGGACGTGGGTCCTGTGCAGAGCTACGTGTCTTTGCAGGACTTGCTGATGCAACAGCTTCCCCGCCTCAGGCTCCACAGCGCTGAGGTGGGACTCTCTGTCTCCACATCCACTGAGCCCCTTCTCCCAGGACAGGGTTGGCATCACTCACTGTTGACAGAAAGCCGCATCTCCTGGCTGGAGAAGCCCACGGTGTTGGTGGCCGTGCAGACATAGGCCCCTGCATCCTGGGCGGACGGCTGGGCGATGAGCAGGGTGCCCTCCTTACTCACATTGTAGTGGGGACCTCTGGAGGTCAGGGCATTGGTTTCCTAGGGCAGAGACACAGGTGACATCAGCAAAGCCCACACCTCTGTCCCATAACACACTGGGCCTACCTCTCCGGTTACCCTCTTGGTAACAGGCACTGCTCACCTTGGTCCAGGTGATGGTGGGGGTGGGAACTCCTGAAGCGACGCAGGGGAGAGAGGCCGGAACCCCTTCATTGGTGATGTGGTGGGTGGCAGTAGGATGGATTCTAGGTGGCACTGTTATAAATAAACCAATGTCAAAGCCAAGGTTCATTGCAGCATCATTCACAGTGGCCAAAAGGTAGAAACAGCCAAATGTCCATCAGCGATGCATGGACACACAACATGTGGTGTGTGCACACAACGGAAGAGTATTCATCCTTAAAAAGGAA